TCCGCTCGCAGGGTCGCCCGCCCCGAATTGGCTCGGGCCAGAACAGGCCGATTCGAATCGGCGGCTTTCGCTGGGACCTCTTTAGGTGACCACCGGCAAGTGGGACTGCGCGGGGTTACGGTCAACTAATCATGACCCAATGACAACCCGCTTGCCAAGTGAAGCTTGGATCACAAACTATGGCTATAAGTCCAGCAACCCGCATTCTTCCACTTCTCACCATATGGGTTTGAATTGTAAATAGGGTCCTAGGTATGCGCTCTCCCTTCGGATGCTGACCCGGAGATAACTGCAGCTTCCATTTTGCAGAGCCCTGGCGGTGTCTCGGTTCTTTTCGACCATAATTACTTTTTCAACAGCAAAAGACATGTATCCAGGGTCTTTGATCATTTTCTTTGAGAGAAGGATCGATAGAAAGAATGGGGAAGCTACCCCTAGAATAGAACAAATCCTGCAATTGACCATGGACTGGCTTTGCTCCAGCGTTACGTACTCTAATATTTCCCAAAGTAATTGTGCGACGCCAGACGGACTTTCATCAACCCGACAGAATGGTTGACTGCCAACATGTAGGGCATTCAACCTGAAGATAGGTCATGACCCCTAGTAGGGAACTACTGCAAAAAAAGAAAAAAAGAAAATCCTTTTGTCACCCAAGAGGAGGATCATGTGCCTTTCCTTGGAAAAACAAAGCCTCCTCAACAATAGGTCCTGAGTGAATCCACACTCACACACACACACACACACACGAACACACCATGAACACAAATCAGGGCTCGACTTGTTGTTCTCCACAGCATTTCCATCCAGTGATGCAATGGGGCTTGATGTAGTCTTCACTGAAGGAGCCCGAGTGACGACGTCCTTCCAGAGATAAACAAACCAAAAATGCAACAATTGTATGGAGGGACAGGCACCTCAACCGACCTGAACTGAAAACGTGTCAGTGCGCCTCCAGTTTGAACGCCTAGGAGCCACAGCAAGACTTGGTCACGAAGCCTCCAACAAAAAGATCGAATCCTATACTTTCCCGAGTTCCAAGTCCTGAAAATAGCGAACAGCACGATGCCGAGTGGCCTCTACTTTTAACTGCTTGAATCCGAGCAACAACATGGGAACATTATGCAAAAGGGAACAGCCTTAGTCTGACCATGGTTCAGTTGCAAATGGATGTTTCCAAAAAGGGATACCCCTCAAAACTTCTCCTTGACAAACATCATGGGCTGGGAGGGAGGGGACGGGGAGGGAGCCCAAATAAGCCCTTAAGCCCTCATAGGGTATTTGGGGCTTATTGGCCTCTCCCTCCCCAAGCCATGGAAGGCCTCCTCCGGCCTTGCGGATGGCGAACCAATGATTCCGGCTCTGACCTCAGGCTAAGTCGGAACACCGTCTCTCGAAATGAAACCGCGTGGCACAGCTTCAAGAGGGAAGCTTGAAATGGGGAAAGCTCACAGAAAAAAAAAAAAGCAAAACATAAGCTCGGGCGATATCCCCAACATGCGGCACCCCGCAGCCCTCGCAGAACCTCGCAGAACCGGCTGAGACCCCAAAGCTGTCAGCTGTTAGGGAAAACTACAAACATAAAAGATGGCTTTACAAAATAGACTCTAAATGCTGGATGGTTTCACAAAGTAGTCAGGTTCCAACTCATTTTGAGACAGAATTGACTGACCTTTCGCATCGAGCGCGATTGCCTCGCACACGTTTTGGGACATGCCCAAAAAATATCCCAACAATCCCGCAACCTTCTAGAACTTTCGTGGAACTCAAGAAACCTGTCGAAACCCAGGAGTAGCTGTGGATGTTGCTGCCACACAACAAAATGAAGACAGTGCTTCCGCTTCAAATGGCCAGACACCCCTTGGGTGGCATTCCTTTCTTCTTGCAACAACTCGGGCGAGATGGGACTTGGAAACTGGGAGTTGGAAACCAGGAGCGCGAGTTGGAAACTGCCCTGACGAGAGTTGGACGCCGCTCTGACGAGAGTTGGAGCCCGATCACACGCGAGTTGTAAACTATCACTCTGGAGAACGCTGGCTCCTCGTGGGGGCACTACGGAAGCAGCACGAGGAGCACTATGGAGAGCACTATTCTGGGGAACACTACCACCACACACAGGCACGGCCACCACGGGACCACAGCCACCATGGGACAACACCACAGGCCCTACGAGGGTCGCCACGCGCCACGGGACCACAGCACTTGCACCACACCACGGAAACACAGCACTTGCACCACGGGCACCACGGGCACGAGCACCACGGGACCACAACACGGGCCACGGGACCATGCACCACGGGACCACACCATGGCCACCACGAGCACCACACGGACCACAGGCACCACGAGCACCAACAGCCACCACGGCAACCACACAACCAAACCCACAGGACCACACCACGGGCACACGGGCACCACACCCACCACGGGATCCACGAGCAGCACCGGGACAGGCACCGGGACCACATCGCACCACGAACACCACGGCTTCCACGCACAC